TTATTAATTTGGCCGCGTCCAATCTGATCACAAACTGCCTGGTGGATCTTCCAGACACATTGGCGCAGTTTGTGAACGACTGGTTCATGGGTAGAAACTACTGCGGCGTGCTTCAGTTTTCATCCGATCTCTCGGAGACCAGCAGCATCTTCTCCACTATGTTCATCAGCATTTATTGGCACCAGAAACTGGTGGGCTCCATCAGACGTGGAGGAGCTCCGGTGCAGATGGATAATTTGAGGTTAGTCGTCGTATTGCTCGCTGGGAGCTGGATCGTGGCGTTGATGTTCAGCGTACCCCACTTTTTTATTGCAGAACACGATGGGAACGAAACTTTAGAAGTTTGTGAAGAGCGTTTCCCAACACCTGCGGAGAAAAAGACGTTCGATGCGCTGTATCTGATTCTGGTGAACGTCGGGCCACTTGTTGGGATCACCTACGCCAGTGTGCAGATCGTCTTAACGCTGCTCCGGAGTCAAAAACGAATCACGGACCACTCCAAAGGAAGAAATGCACCACCTACAGAAGAAAACATGGCCAAAAAGTCTAAAGCCGTGAATACCGTCGCCAACCCGCAACAGAAGACGCAGGTCAGATCCAATCCGTCCTCGAGCAACCAGGTTCGAGCGGCCAAAAGCGTGGTTGCAGTCGCCACCATCTTCATCTTCTGCTGGTTCACTCACCTCATTCTCCGCATCTACAGCAGCTTCAGAAACTCAGTCCTCGCTGTGAAACTCACCAGTTTTATAGGAGCTTCTTACACCTGTTTCGTCCCATATGTGTACTTGCACGGTGTGAAGAAACTCAACTGCTCTTGGCGGTAAGACCTGGACTGGAAAAAGCATCTGAGGAAAGAAGCTTGTTTTGATGATTAATGGCAAAACATGTAAACAAAGCTTGAGTGATTAGCAATTAGTTGTTTGTAAACACCGTATATGTAAATACCTCTTGTTTTTTTATATGAAATGTGTGAATCCTAGTAAAATAACTGGTTTATCATTTTTTTCCACCACCAAAGCAGAAACAGAAGTGACTCTCCCTCCAGTGCTTTGGTAATTGCTGCCAGCGATCACTGTAATTATGTTCGTTATGCCACTTAACAAATTATAAATCTGCACATGAGTGCAATTCTCCTCAATGTTATTTACAAAAACAAAGGAGGACAGCACATTATAATCAACATATTTAAAGCATATTTATAATATTTTGCCAAATAGGCATAATTAGCTAATATAAAGTGTGCATATACTTATATTGATTATAATTTGCTATTTCTTTTTTATGAATTGATTTCGGTAGCACTTAGGTGCAATAAGGTTGTATTGGTTAACAACATTAACTACATTAGTCAACATGACTTAACAATAAAAATGAAATCTTAAACATTAATCTTAGTTAATTCCAACATTTTATTAAAATACAATTTTATTATTTATTATATTAAATAAATTACATTATTTAATGGACCTGAACTAGCATGAATTAACAATGAACTGTATTTTTATTAACTAACGTTAACAAAGATGAATAAATACTCTAAGAAATGAATAGCACATTCTTAGTTAATTTTAGTTAATGCATTAACTATTGTTAACTAATGGGATCTTGTAATTTCAATAACGTTTAAACTTAAATTTTGGTGATTTAATGTGTTTTGGTGATTGACCTCTTTATCTATGAATCATACTGAATGGCTCTGAAGAATAAGGGTCATATTATATATACATCCAACCTGCTTGCTTTGCATTATGATCACTTTACATTAAACATGAGCCTTCATATAATCAACGCTAGCCAATATTGACATTTATTCAAATTAGCTAAATCAATAAGTCGTGCAGGACCAATGTACAAACTCAACAGCCTATTATAACCAGAATCCCTCAAATTAAATCTAGTCAGCATCAGAGCTGTTGAAAATGTGCATTACCTCGGCAGTCGATTATGACATTAGTGTGCACATAACAGCAGACATTGAAGTGAGTTGCTGTTTATTTTATTTTTTTATGTGCATCCAGTCTCATTTGGTAAGTGACCTTTCTTTCTGTTTTAAAGATGTTTTCTTTGGATTGTTTGACTGCTCAAAAGAGAATAGAGGAAAATGTAACTTAAGTTGTGTTTCCTGCTAGCTAAATTTCACATACATACACAAACATTATTTACTTGCTCTAAACCTCTCTTTTCTTTATTCGAAGTTAATCTAGAGAAGTACTATCTAAGCAGTCAAAACTACAACTCTAGTCTATATTCATCCTACGTGTCCTCTTAAGGTGTAAATTTACTACAAAAAAACCCCCATCATGGTTAGGCTACTATAGTTAAACCATGCTAACCACAAATTAACCATGGTTTTGCTACACTAACCATCATAAAACCATGGTACGTAGCTCACTTCTAACGAGCTGGCGCAAGGATTGCTATCGGGATGTGAAGAGACTTTCAACCAGCATAACAAAAAAACGTTTCTGAAGACAATCATACGGTGGCCGAGAAGTGCAGAACAAATCACAATTCCGAAAACAAAATAACAAATTACAAACGCAAATGCAAGTCTAAAAAACAAAATAACAAGTCAGAAAACACAATGACAAATCAGACAAACCGGAAGAGGTAGGTATAGTTTGAGACAGCGCCATTGGTTTGGGATTACTCACCGCTGACTGGACGAGACATCTGTCAATCACCGTATACAGAGAAGAACCAGCCGAAGAACAGCAGAGTCCTGGTAGAAAGTTCGGAGATGGTATTAAAGTAGCTCAGTTTAAATGTATTGTATGAATTGCCCTTACTCTGGAATAAAAAATATGGGGTGTATATTTACATTTAGTTAAAAGTGTCTGAAAACATCAGCGCCAGTGGCGCAGTTGGATAAGTGCGTGTTGCTGGCTTTTTGACACAATCGACCCGGGTTCGATCCCGTCTTTTGCCTAACTTTTTTTCCCTCCCTTTTCAAATCTCGTATTAGCCATGGATTCTATTTTCACTAAGTGAAAATAGCAGTATTTTTAGCAATATGCTATTTATACTAAGTGCAAATACCTATTTACACGATGTTAAAATAGTACTATCAAGTATACTACTTGTTGCAAATAGTGGCAATTATCTGCACTTCAGTATTGTAGTACATACAATATAAATTATATTATAAAACAGTATGCAATAATAACGTATTGAGTGTAAATTATAATTTAAATTTAAATTATTAAATGGATGCCACCTTATTGGTACAATAAAGCCCTCCCTACACCTACCCTAACCCTACCCCATACTTTATTTTCAACTTTTTGATTATTTCCTTAATTTTTAATGAAACTAAATGCCTTTACGATGTGATACGAGATTTGAAAAGGGAGGGGAAAAAAGTTTGGCAAAAATGCGGGATCGAACCCGGGTCAATCGCGTCAAAAAGCCAAGGACTTGCGCTTATCCATCTGCACCACTGGAGCTGATGATATACAGCCACTTTTAACTAAATCTAAATAGACACCCCGTAAGGGCAATTCATACAATACATTTAAACTGAGCTACTTTAATACCATCGCCGAACTTTCTACCACGACTCTGCTGTTCTTCGGCTGGTTCTTCTCTGTATACGGTGATTGACAGATGTCTCGTCCAATCAGCGGTGAGTAATCCCAAACCAATGGCGCTGTCTCAAACTATACCTACCTCTTCCGGTTTGTCTGATTTGTTGTTGTGCTTTCTGAATTGTTATTTAGTTTTTTAGACTTGCATTTGCGTTTGTAATTTGTTTTCAGAATTGTGATTTGTTCTGCACTTCTCGGCCACCGTACAATCACCTTTTTGTATCGATTCGGCGCTCAGATTCACAATTTTTAACAGAAAGGGAGTTTCGAAAAGCTCCGTTTCACCCATCAACTGCATGTTTTGCGATCTCGAAATTCGAAAATGAATGGCTCTCTCGAACTGGTTTTTGGTAGTGAATCGCTTGAAATTAACGATCGAAGTCACGAGATTGAATTTGAATCAAGAGGAGTGGTTCCAGCGTAAATGATTCACTCAATTGAATCGGTTTGTCTATAGCTCCGCCTTTTGCACCTTCAACCATGTTTACGCGACACTGTCAGATAGGCCTATATATACTATGGTCAGTAAGTTACTACTACTGGCTTAGTCTACTGGTTAATTGAAATAAGCGGGGAATTTTTTTTTACAAATAAAACATCCTTATTTCAATAACTGCTTTCCACGTCGAAGAATCCAACACAAATCTACGAACATATTCAGGGAAGGTAACCGGTTTACTGCTAACTAGTGAAACACTCATTGTTTTGACCAGCTGCGCCTCAAAATAGCTACATGTTAATTAGGAAACATTATGATTTGAACATTTTCGCATGATATACTTTTGACCATAGTTTCATGCCATATTATAGCATTAGTTTATAGCTATGGTAGCCAACATAAGTCACTCATAATTCATAAAGAGGTTTACAATAAACAATAATTAGACAACTTTGATTATGTAAAGATTATGGATATTGTAGGGACATCGGTAAGACCTCACCTTGCTCGTCTTTGAAGTGGAGTTTCTTTTCCCGCCCAAAAATGGAGAAAAGAACGAACGCAATCTCGGAGGTAAAAATTAAATGGTTGTTTCCCGCTCCAGATTACCATTTTCTAAAATATATATTTTTTATATTATAACATTATATTTTTTACGAAGACTACATTCAAATTACTGTAATTTTAAAGCAAAACATAAATGTGCAAAAACAGTAAGCGCTATCGTTTAGTCGACTACACACAAAATTATTTTAAATTATAATTTACAAGTTATAAAATTGACTTAAAGCCATATTTATATTATGTGTGTCAGTTTTATACATTTAATACATTTTAATAAATATCAATATTGTGTGTAAATAATTCATATACAATTTTAATTGTTAATATAGTGATTTTTTTTAAAGAAATGTTAAAAACAACTCAGAAAATTACTAATTTTACACAATTGTAATTTAAAAGAAAACTTTTTATTTTTATTATTTTATTTTCAAATCATTTGCAATACATATTGCACAAAACTACAAGGTGGATGAAAAGACTCAGGCTTTCATAAAAATGTGTCCTTTTCATAAAAGTCTTAGGTCTTTGAACCTGACGACTAGTACAAAACGCACATGTTTCCTTTCATCCCATCCATCCATCCACCACCACATCTCAATCAAGAAACGTCAAAAAAAACAAAAAAACAGCATCCATGGGGAAGTTACCGACCATAGATAGTGTTTCAGCAGTAGAAAACATTTAGAATAAGTGCCTCCTCGGACAGCTTATGAACACATACAGACACCATTGATTAATTATAACTGAATAAGAAATTAAAATCATGTATTACACACCTTCATATCCGCTGATGACCACAAGAACGTACGCAAACTGAGGAATACATATAAATGTGTATATATCTCGGCCGTCTGTTGGGTATTTCCATGGCTGGACGAGTGAACATTATTCATTTTCAGTAAATATAAAGACTGAAGTCCTGGTGCGTTGAGAGGCGTCAGGCTGCTGTAGTATCGGGATGTCCATCAAACGACATCGAGAGCAAAACGACCGCTGGCAAGTCCTTCATTGTCATCAATGGAGTTTCTCCAGTTTGGCCTGAAGGCATTTAAAGTTGCGTATAATGTCCTGCAGAGCCGCGTTTGGACTCAAGGACTGCAGCTCCACCAGATACCCGCAGATGTTATCCAGACAAGCGTTAGTAAACCTCCGTCTGCAATCAACCAGAGAGTGAGTGACAAAAAAAATGTGACCGGGGTTGCCAGGTTTTCACAACAAAACCCGACCAATTGCTATGGCATTTCTAGGGGGGTCCCCCGGGAAAAATCGCATTCCGGGTTGTAAAATACACATTTTTTGGCAGGGTTCCCCCTGGTAAATGTGCACTCCAGGGGCTAAATATGAGGTTATTAGGGTCGCTTCAACCCGTGGACATCAAAAACCACAGTGTTAAACAGTGTTAAAGTAGCCCAAATCCGCAGGAAAACAGCAGACTTGGCAACACTGCCTTGGCCACAAGGGTCCGTTTTAAATCGATAAATAAGCTTTCCATTGATGTATGGTTTGTTATGATAGAACAATATTTGGTTGAAATACAACTATTTGAAAATCTGGAATCTGAGGGTGTAAAAAAATCAAAATATTGAGAAAATCATCTTTAAAGTTGTTCAAATGAAGTTCTTAGCAATGCATATTACTAACCAAAAATTAAGTTTTGATATATTTACGGTAGGAAATGTACTAAATATCTTCAACCAGAGAGTGAGTGACAAAAAAAATGTGACCGGGGTTGCCAGGTTTTCACAACAAAACCCGACCAATTGCTATGGCATTTCTAGGGGGGTCCCCCGGGAAAAATCGCATTCCGGGTTGTAAAATACACATTTTTTGGCAGGGTTCCCCCTGGTAAATGTGCACTCCAGGGGCTAAATATGAGGTTATTAGGGTCGCTTCAACCCGTGGACATCAAAAACCACAGTGTCAAACAGTGTTAAAGTAGCCCAAATCCGCAGGAAAACAGCAGACTTGGCAACACTGCCTTGGCCACAAGGGCCACAAGGGTCCGTTTTAAATCGATAAATAAGCTTTCCATTGATGTATGGTTTGTTATGATAGAACAATATTTGGTTGAAATACAACTATTTGAAAATCTGGAATCTGAGGGTGCAAAAAAATCTAAATATTGAGAAAATCATCTTTAAAGTTGTTCAAATGAAGTTCTTAGCAATGCATATTACTAACCAAAAATTAAGTTTTGATATATTTACGGTAGGAAATGTACTAAATATCTTCACGGAACATGATCTTTACTTAATATCCTAATGATTTTTGGCATAAAAGAGAAATGTATAATTGTGACCCATACAATGTATTGTTGGCTATTGCTACAAATATCCCCCAGCGACTTAACACTGCTTTTGTGCTGCAGGGTCACACGTGTAATATAATGTATAGAAGATGTGGCAGGTAAGACGGTTACCTGTCATAGGTGGGCACTCGGCTGGGGTCATTCACATATCCTGACAGGAGCACATGGATGCACTCCACCAGGTGCAGGGGTTTCTTAAGGCGCTGCCAACACGGGTCCTGGGTCAAACACACAGAAATTATTATTATTAACATTTAAAGATTTTTGGGTTTGTTTACTCCTGACACGGTTTACTCTTCAGAATCTTAAGTGTCACTTTTTAAGATGCCATGTCAAGTTACACGACTAACACTTCAACTTTTAGATACAGCAATAATAACAATAATAAAAAAAAAAGTAAAATATAAATGAATACGAAATTTAGAAAAATAAAAACAACCACTGTTAAGCAAGTGTAATTACATAATTAAATGTTATATAATTATAAAACATAAGTAAAGAAATATATAACTACTGTTAAGCAACCTTTGGAAGGATTATGGACTACTAAATAAAAACATTATTAAATAAACAAGATAAGAAATGTAATAAAAAATTATTAAGTAAATATGAAATTTAGAATAAATAAATAAATATAGAATTACTGTTTACATATCCATTTGATTAATACATTTAAAAAACCACAAATATATTTTTACGCACACCTTGTCAATATAATCGCCATTGGCTAGTAATTTTTTTAGTTCACTCGCCAGATTGATAATAATAATACGAATAACAATAACACTGATAAGATGATAATAATAGTAATAATAATACAATGAAATCTACTACTAACAACAATATAAGATGCACTAAGGATTAATGAGATGCTGAGTTCATGAATATTAATCACGGATGTCTGCATTCGCTCGAACTGATTTGCTGAAATTAAAACAGGGACAATAATAGGTGAGCACCAGCCAATGAGATTATCGTTTGAGCATTAGCTCCGCCCACTACCTGAGAACCCAGCAAAGCTGAAGAATTCCAAAGGAACTCCGTTATTTTGACAGGAAAATACAACAAAGAATATCGTTTACATGTAGCGTGTCAATTCTGCATGGTGTGTAAAACTCTCTCTCTGTCTGTCTGTGTGTGTGTGTGTGTGTGAGAGAGAGAGAGAGACAAAGCGGCGGCGAGGCGTGCGCCTTCACACTAGAGTTTACAATGCGTCAAATACAGGTGCGCTGCGCATCCATTCAGATGAAACAGAAAAAAGCACAGATTGGCGCAGTGAATGATGGCCAGCTTACACTCCGACAGCCGGAAGTGATCCGCAAACTCACCGTACAGCTACAGAGAGACGAACACAACATCTTTATGAAACAGGGCTGTCAAAATGGCTGAAAAACTACATTCGAACTTTGCACTTAAAGGTCCGCACAGTTAGGGGGGAAAAAAGCTTTTGGCTTCTCTCCTGAGGCCACAAGAGGGCGCATCAAGCAAAATACTAAATATTAAATATTTAAATATTAAAGCAATAAAATAACATCACTATCTGTGAAACGCTGCATAATGTTTATAAACCAAATATGTGCCCCTGGAGCACAAAAGCAGTGTTGAGTCGCTGGGGGATATTTGTAGCAATAGCCAGCAATACATTGTATGGGTCACAATTATACATTTCTCTTTTATGCCAAAAATCATTAGGATATTAAGTAAAGATCATGTTCCATGAAGATATTTTGAACATTTCCTACCATAAATATGTTAAAACTTAATGTTTGATTAGTAATATGCATTGCTAAGAACTTCATCTGAACAACTTTAAAGATGATTTTCTCAATATTTAGATTTTTTTGCTCCCTCAGATTCCAGATTTTCAAATAGTTGCATCTCAGCCAAATATTGTCCGATCCTAACAAACCATACATCAAGCTACATTCAGCTTTCAGATGATGTATAAGTCAATTTAAAAATATTTAACCTTGTGACTGATTTTTGTGGTCGATGGTCACATATAATTAATTAAGTTGCTTAAACAATTATAAACAAAACAGCATCATGTATGTTTGATACAAAAGGATGAAAGAGTACTTTTTCCATTTAAAAACATGAGATGCAGTGGGATGGGGAAAAATTGCCATAAAGTCTTGAGACATGTTTTTTAAAAGTTGAACTTGCATTAATTTTTCATGACTTTCTAAACATGCCGCTCTCTTGTGCGAGACGCGAGTGCAACAGTGATAGATGTCCCTCTAGAAAATGCGCAAAATATGCGTTCTGTGTGAACGGCTTGGTTTCAGTTTTGCCTTAAAGAAAGATGTTCTCCGGGTTGATGTTCTCTTTTTGTGCAATATTTTATATATACAACGCAGCATCGCTCTAAACATGCCGCTCTCTTGTGCGAGACGCGAGTGCAACAGTGATAGATGTCCCTCTAGAAAATGCGCAAAATATGCGTTCTGTGTGAACGGCTTGGTTTCAGTTTTGCCTTAAAGAAAGATGTTCTCCGGGTTGATGTTCTCTTTTTGTGCAATATTTTATATGTACAACGCCGCATCTAGTGGGTTCAACTGGATAGGCTAACAAAAGCATTAAAAAGCAACGACACTTACACTGTCATTGCATTTCATGCGCCACTTATACGGCTGCCTGACGCGCACCTAAAATTCGAATGCAACGTTTTTGCATTTGAATGTGGATTTTTATTTTAAATTCGACGAATATTCGAAATTCAAATTTTTTTTGGACAGCCCTATTATGAAACACAGCAGATCAGGAAGTGCATTACTGCATGCAACTGAAACGTCTCCATTTACCTTGGTAATGTCCATGAGCTCGGAGTCGAGTTGTGTAATGGCTCCCTGCACTGAGGGATGCTGGGAATACTGTCTGCGGAGCGTTTCCTGGATCTGCACCTGAATCCGCACCACCTGGAGGATCACAGCAGCGTTACAGAGCAAACTAATTTAGGCCTGCACGAGTCAGCAAAATAAAATTGAAATTGTGACATGGTTCGGTGCAGTTATCAAATCGCAAAGGCTGCAGTTTCATTACATAAACACATGCGCAGAGCGTTACATGCGAGCAGCTGGTGATCTGATGTTTTCAACACCTCAGAGCCAGTGTTATTCTTACAGTTTTCATTTTAAGTTTAGTTTAGGTAATTTGATGTGCTTTTGTCATTTTTGCTTTATTTATTATTTCAGTTTTAGTAATTAATACCTCAGCTGAAACGTATGGTTAGTTGCAATAACAAAACTTGGCTCTGATTGCGTAATTAAATTTGAATATAATAATAGAAAAGAAGCTTTAAAATAGGTAACAAAAAACAGTTATGGTTAATCTTTCTCAAAAGTAATAAAATAAATATTGATTGAATATTATTGACTTTGTTTAGTTCGTTAAAAAAAAAAATTTAAGTAAAAAAAAATTTCACAAGGAATTATTGTAATTTTTATTGTTTTATTTAAATATTTCTATGTAGCTTTATTTTTATTGCGGTTTTATTTTTTTGTAATTTTACTACTTCAACAAATTATACATTTATATAAGTTTTACATTTTTAAGCTTCATCAAATATATATCTTTATTAATATTTATCCTGATTTCAAAAAACATTTTCATAGTTAAACTGTTGACAACAGTAATTTATTATTTTTCTTAAATACACATTGTTTTACTTTACAGTTAAAGATTACAATACCTACAATAGTAATTTCATATTTTGTTTAATATTTTATATAACGATAATAAAAATTACTTTTAGAATTATTGTAGATACACTGCCGCTCAAACGTTTGGGATCAGTAGGATTTTTAGCTTCAGAGAGATCTCCGTGCTGCACGCACACAACACCAACACAAACCAATCATTCTCATCTGACACCACCAGATCGAGGCAAATCCAACTTATAGGGCTTCATATCAACATAAAGGAGCGGAAATTTAAATATCTAAATTAGGGCCCTACGAAATCCGTTTTATTTGTTCCAAAATTTATTCTAACAATAGCCTTATTAAATTATGTGTTGTTTATTTACATTTTTCTGGTTATCAAATGAAGGCATAAACCATGAAAATGAAATAAATGAAAATAAATGGGATTTTCTAGTCAAATTAAAACATGGAAGAAATAGTGCGATTATTCTTTAAAAGAAAATAAAGGTTTCATATATTTTTTCCAACAGTAGTAGTAGCAGTATTACTTAGATTCTACTGATTGATAGTACTATATTTCTGCCACAATATCTTAAAGTTAAACCGACTTTTTACAGACTTAACAAAAGTTAAATTTTGATGGGTTGCCGTGCATACATAAGACACTAGTTTTACTCAAAAGAAACAGTAAAATGCCTATGAAGTGACTCTCAGAGCAGTTCTGGAGACGTTGTTAGTGTATCTATGTCCTCATTTAGTGAGACAGCAGACGCTGAAATCACCGCGAGCGTCACATGCTTCAGTATGTGTGTAGTAAACAAAAACTGCGCATCTGCGCCATTCATCCACACAGAGACACGCAGAAGATGAATGATTCATATTTAAAATGCTTTTTTGCAGCTTAATATTCACATATACTAGTCGCGATTTGATTCAAGTGTAGTGACATACTTTTGATTAATTCATCCAAACCTTAGCAAACTCCGTGACATTTCGCGTTAAACTGTAAATTCCATTTTTATGACTGAATTCCGTGATTCTGTCCGCATCGCGGAAATCATAGGGCCCTACTAAATGCACAGTTATGAGAAGAGCGATTCTGAACCAATCAGATTTCAGTGGGCGGGGCTAACCAGCATGATACCTGTGCATGTCAGCCAGCCGCGCCAGGACATGCGCCGCTTTGCCAAAGCTTCTGTTCTTCTCGTAGTATCGCCACAGAAGGTCCATGTTTCGCACTTTACTCTGGTCCTGTTTGATCATGTGCATCAGATGATCCTCCAGGTACGGCGAGTTCACCTGGAGCAGAGGAGAAAACGCCCTTAACACTTTGAACAGAGAGACTTCAAGCTATGCTGAGTAACTGTGTATGCGATCATTCGTACCTCCAGGAGCTTGTCGGTGAGATCGGCCTGAATGAGCCAGTTATAGAGAGCGATGTGGAAGAGCTCGTCTTGAGATCTCTGAGCGAGACCCAGCATCTGCTCAAACTGAGGGGAAAACAGCATCCATAATTAACCAATGCTGTTACTGTTAACTTCAACCAAAACTAAACTTCTGTTAAGTGAAACTAAAAATATAAATAGAGGAAAAATTTAAATTAAGCGAATATTAGAAATGTTGCCTTGGCAACTACATGAAAACAAATTTAATTTGAAGTAATGACTTTAAAGATAATTACAAATTAATAACAAAACAATGAAAAGATCAATATTGCTGGAAAAAACATTATATAAAACAAAATATAAATGTAAGAGGAAACACTTGAAACAAATGAAATTTTAAGTAATGACTTTTTTTTTTTTTTTTTGTAAAGATAATTACAAGTTAATAACAAAATAATGAAAATATATTACAGGAAAAATATTAGAAATGTTGCCTTGGAAACCAACCAAAAAAAAAAAATTAAGCTTAAGTATTAAAATGACTAACACTTAAATAAATAAATTAATGAACGAATTAAGTACAACTTAAAAAACAAGTTCAAGTACTAAAATGACTAAACTAAATATTTAATATAATATATATTAAAAAAATATTCTTTTTTTCATTTGCATGTATTATACATGTTTCTACCAATTTCTTTACATGTTTCTGCCACTTCCTTTCCAGTCAAAGTGACAAGTGCTTGCAAACATGTAGTGAAAATTACACGATAACAGGTTGAAATATAGTATAACTGTGAAAAAGCACGAAATTATTAATCAGCAAAAGCTATTTTCAACATGGATAATAATAAGAACCATTAATAATAATTGAGTACCAATAAAAACTGATAAAAAATAAGCACCAAATCAGCATATTAGAATGATTTGTAAAGGATCACGTGGAGTAATTTGCCCCCACAGGAATAAAAAATATTTAAAAAAAAAAAATATATATATATATATAAATAAATAATGTAAGAGGAAAAACTTAAACGAACATTAGAAATGTTGCCTTGGCAACTAACCAAAATTACATTAATTTAATTTGAAGTACTAAAAAGACAAACAACAATAAACAACAACAACAAATACAAAAACAAAATAAGTAGAAACACAAAAGAAATAATGGAAAAAAAGATTAAGAACGTAAACATCAGAAATGTTGGCAACTAACTGAAATAATGTTGAACTAAACTATCAAAATAAATATTAAATGACAAGCACATTACTAAGACTTAAACTAAAAACTGAAATGATAAAAATAAAAGCTACTTCAAATCATTATGAAGTGCCATCAATAACACCGCGTCTAACGGGTTCAAACTGAAGTACATGAGGCTCTAGCAGGTGGTTTGTGACTCACATGAGCGGCAGCGTCCTCGTTGCTCAGCATGTTGGGGTCAGAGGTCATGACGGGGGGTCCGGGTTGTTTAGGGACGCTGGGAGACTGAGGGGCCGCTTTGCTCTGGTTCACCAGCTCCTGCATGGTGTCCGTGATGCATTTATAACAGGAGAGTCTGGACAAAAACAATGTTTACTGCCTGGTTTAAACCTACAAATCCCACATGAGCACCTCAGGATCCTGTAAAAGAAGTATGTGTGTACACTGACCGCTCCTGGAAGGCCTGCAGGCCGCTGGAGTCCTCCTCCGGCTCTCCGTTCCTGTAGAAGTGCAGCCCCAGCTTCTGAGGGTCTTTCTTATCAGCGGCTGTGAGACACAGCTCCACCACTCCCTCATAGAAACGCACTAGATGTGATTACATTAGATTCAACTTGATTGTCATTGTGCAAAGTACAAGTACAGAGCCAATGAAATGCAGTTAGCAGCTAACCAGAAGTATATAAATAAATATAAAATATAAATATGTGTATATACATTCAGCTTTATGACATACAGTGCAAGTTATGAGGTAGAAGGGCAGAGACCAGCTCAATGCAAATGACTGTAATTACAAGGAAGTATAAACAGAAGGTGCATTATACAGGTATGTAAATAGCATATGTGACCCTGGACTACAAAACCAGTCATAAGGGGTCAGCTGGTCAGCTGAAAGCTGAATAAATAAGCTTTCCATTGATGTATGGTTTGTTAGGACAATATTTGGCTGAGATACAACTATTTGAAAATCTGGAATCTGAGGGTGCAAAAAAATCTTTAAAGTTGTCCAAATGAAGTTCTTAGCAATGCATATTACTAATCAAAAATTAAGTTTTGATATATTTATGGTAGGAAATTTACAGAATATCTTCAAGGAACATGATCTTTACTTAATATCCTAATGATTTTTGGTATAAAAGAAAAATTGATAATTTTGACCCATACAATGTATTGTTGGCTATTGCTACAAATATACCCCAGCGACTTAACACTGCTTTTGTGCTGCAGGGACACATATGTTTATATATGGCCAATGACCATAACAGTGCAAATGGCACCAGGAGGAAGAAATGTGAAAGGTAGTGCGCAAAATATAAAATAAAAATGCATGATCGTTATATAACGATAAAAGCAGATGAATGGTTGAGTTCTTCTGCATTTAAAGCTCACTCTGCACTCACCCTGCCGGTACTGCGAGCAGACGAGGGGCAGGTCTGTGTGGTGACTGATCTGCTGATAGAGGCGCAGGGACTCCTTCAGCGTTCGCTCCTTCTCCAGCTTGTTCTGGATCTGTCTGGAGCCCTGCAGCAGCTCATTGGCCTGTCAGGACGGAAAGAGATCTGATAACGACATGATCCTCAACCGCTTCCGGTTTATAAAACACACAGACATTCAGTTCCGTACTGACTTGCTCATATAACTCACACAGATGCACAACAAAACTGCGTCCTGAAGGTGTCATTAAATAAAGAAATATTAAAATAAGTTATGGTCATGGAATAGTTAAGAAATGTAAAAAATAACTTTTATTTTTCAAATTAAAAAAAAAAGTTAAAAAGCTACTAAAGATAGCTACACTAAATATGCTAAAAAAATTTTTTTTTAAAAACAAACAAAAAATATATTAAAAACTAAATGAATACATAAATTAACAAACAAAAACAATGAATAAAAAATAGCTACACTAAAATAAATAAACAAACTAAGTATAAAAAAAATTAAAACAATAAATACCTACAGTAGATAAATACAAACACTAAGTACTAAAAAACAAAAAAACAATAAATAAAAAAATACTAATAAAAAATAGCTTCTCTCTCTATAAAAAAAACTAACTAAATAACTAAAAACAAAAATAAACTAAATAAAAAAACTAAACCAACTGAAATAAAATCTAAAACAACTAAATTAGAAACCAAACAAAATTGACAAAAAAAATAAAATAAATAATAAAATAACTGATCTAAACAATAATAATAATAATAATAATAATAACAGGACCAGTAGTTTTTCCTAATAAAAGTCACTAAATAAATGTAAATTAAAATAAAAATAAAAAAATAAAAACAAATAAATTAAACATTACTAAATATACCGAAACATAGAAAATAAAATACTTAGATAAAAAAATACAAACTAAAGTTATATATAAAGTAATACATTAAAAATAAAATAAAATAAAAAATAAGCCAAATAAAAACAATAAATAAAAATAGCTACACTAAATAAATTAACAAATGTTTATATATTTATTTGTTTTGTGAGTAATTGTAGATCTTGCAGCATTTTACAGTAATGCATTATTTTGACTATTTATTTGTTTATTTTTAGTAGTGGCAGATTTTTTTCTTTAACAAAAATAAGCATTATTTATTTTTTTATTCTTGAGTAATGCCAGAAAAAACATATTTTTTGAGTAATTAAAAATAACTAAACTAAAAACACAAAAAAACTAAAAGTTTTTTTTTTTTAAGTTATTTTCCTCAGCTTGTTTTGTGTCTCCATGTGTTCGTGGTTTGTGTGGCGTCTGACTGGAGTCTCATTGAGACGCACAGGTACCTTGGAGCAGATGCTGTCGTCGCTGCTGTACAGCAGAGGGCAGATGTCTCTCAGGTGAGCGCTGACGGTGTCTACACACGCGCTGTCTTTGATGTACACGTTAATGAGGGCGGTGACGAGAGCGCCACTCAGCTCGCGTCCAGAAACAACCACATCCTTAAAACTCACAGCCTTAATCTGGTCCTGAAACTCCTGACAGAGAAAGAAAACCAATCATTAGGGATTTAACGATATCGGAATCTCACGATACGATAATACCGCGATATGAAGTCCACGATGCGATATTTATTGTGATATTTAAATTTAAAAAAAAAAGACAAATGAAAAAGGTTTACATTTTAAAGTTAAATTATTCTATCTAGTGCACTTTGAGTGTTCAAAATTAAGAGCTGCAACCCAAGTTCTTAACTAAGAAAACTCAAGTCAGAAAAAGTCAGTGCATTGACTTGTAGCTGAACTTTAAAGGATAAGTTATTTTCCTTAGCTTGTTTTGTGTCTCCATGTGTTCGTGGTTTGTGTGGCGTCTGACTGGAGTCTCATTGAGACGCACAGGTACCTTGGAGCAGATGCTGTCGTCGCTGCTGTACAGCAGAGGGCAGATGTCTCTCAGGTGAGCGCTGACGGTGTCTACACACGCGCTGTCTTTGATGTACACGTTAATGAGGGCGGTGACGAGAGCGCCACTCAGCTCGCGTCCAGAAACAACCACATCCTTAAAACTCACAGCCTTAATCTGGTCCTGAAACTCCTGACAGAGAAAGAAAACCAATCATTAGGGATTTAACGATATCGGAATCTCACGATACGATAATATCACGATATGAAGTCCACGATGCGATATTTATTGTGATATTTAAATTTAAAAAAAAAAAAGACAAATGAAAAAGGTTTACATTTTAAAGTTAAATTATTCTATCTAGTGCACTTTTGATTTTTTTGCACCCTCAGATTCCAGATTTTCAAATAGTTGCATCTCAGCTATCTTGTTTGTACGCATTGACTTGTAGCTGAACTTTAAAGGAGACTCAAGCCTCTTGTTATTTGTGGTATACGGTCTCAGTCTAAATTACATTCACACTGGTGTTTTAAGAAGCCAAACAAATTAGAATAGAATAATTATAATAATGACAGTAGTAGCCATATGTGTGTCCCTGCAGCACAAAAGCAGTGTT